CTTAAATAAAAACATGAATGAAATGTTTCTCAGCTCAATGAAGATCTTTATATTTCCCCCCATCAGCGGTAAGAGTCTAAAGAATCTTTAATGAGTTTATTTACACGGCTCGTGTTCGGGTGGCACGCTTTGTGTTCTTGTTCGTAACAGCTCACTGCTATCTGTTATCTATTTTTTGTATGTAATATACAAATATGTATGCATAGAATAATAAAAATATTTTGAAAAATTGTAAATAAGGAGAAAATTAAGATACTCAAAAATATTTAATTTACATTTTTAATAACATATAGCGGTATTAAATGTAATATGGTACCAGTATACATAAAAGAATTCTAATAAAAATGATAACTTTACTTTTTTATATTAACATAAAATATTAAGGTGCTTTCATATTTATTTCTTTTAACCGCAAAGGAGTTAGTTGGAATATTATTTTATTTAAAATGAGAACTGTAATTAATTCAATGATGTTTTATAATAAATAGACAAAAATATGGAGTAAAGAAATTAGGAATTTTTAATACTTAAAGATTAGGAAATTCCTGTTATAAATTTGGCCTTGAAAATGTTAGTAGCGGGTATTCAATACATTCTGGTGGATTAGGGAATTTCCGTTTTAAGTGTTTCTTTGAAACTATTAAGTGGGTAGGTATTATGCATATTGTTCTACCATATTCATGGTAATTCATTGTAAGCAAAATGTGGGACCATCATCCCAACATACAAATGAAATATGCAACACGCTCTAAGTGTTGCGCAGTCGAACCGCACAAATATTTACGAAAATTTTGTAAAAATTAATGCAGAAAAACTAGACTCAAGTTGCTGGACTCTTTTTGCTCGTGTGAATGCACAGAGCGACACCAAAAGAGAATTTGACGAAAACGAGGGTCAAAAACTGTCTTAGTACGCATAGCCATAATTATTTTGGATGTGCTATTAATAATACAATTAAAATTGTAGTTCTGCGTATATTTAATGGCGAAAGTGTTAGTTTTCGATAATAGAACAAGTGTTAAGATATATGTGTTTCGATAGTTTTCGATTTATCGAAATTTCATTTTTAAATTATTTTGAAATAACGACTTATCTTTGAATACAGCTTTATGAAAATAAAAGTTTATATGTTTGGTATTTTTTTGCTTGTGACGCCATGTCCGAAAAAATGCCTCCGAGGGCCGTTCCGGATATTAAATTAATTGTTGAGTCTATATTTAACGCTTCCAATTCTTTTTTTAAAAACCCCATGGAACTGAGTATTGAAGATTTCGCTCCCCAAATGAAAGAATATGCCTCAAAAACGGTGCATCGTGGCAGCTCATTCCGCTTTTAGAAAGGGAAGATCGCGAGATAATTTTAGAGCCTATTCCAATTCTTGAGGAATAACTATTAAATAGTAGTAATAAAGCCACGCAAACAGGTAGGGGTCTGACAACAGGGACGGATAGATAGAAGAAATTGAGGAAAGGGAATAGGATTTTAAAAATAAAATTAGATGAAAAAGAACAAGTGAATAGAAGTTTAAAGACTCAGTTGGTCTAAATGGCCACCGAATTAGAAAAATTTTGGGAAAAGTCAGATCCTCTTGAGATAGTTTGCAGCAAAGTTTCTCCTCAGTTAGGTGCTTGTATTCGGAGTAGTTTTATAAATAGTAACTATAGCTTTGTATTTTTTTTTTGTCGCCAGTTGCTTATTGTCACATAAATCACCAATTACATTTTTCCTCCGAAAGTACTTTGCAAAACTTTGTTACCGACTGGCCTCGTTTCCCATGTTGTACTCAAAGTAGCTTAAAATCGGTAAGGATTAGGAGTAGGGGATTCTCTTTTGAACAAAAGTGCGTGTCGTGTCTGAAATGTCATTTGCAGTATGATAGGAAATTCGATAGGATAGTAGGTGTTGAAGACTATGGCGATGAAAATCGCAATTCGAGATTAGATTTGCAATGACCATAATGATGCAAGGTATAGGTGGTGAGCCTTGGTCCCATCCATTAAGTTATTTTTTCGTTAAAGGATCTTGCATAGGGGATGTCCTCAAAAAATATATTCTTGAAGCCATTGCCCAACTTTAATATATAGGACTAATTTCTTGCCATTTTGTATGCGACCACTGCACCAATTTTCAGAATTTCGCTAATTTGTTAGGTGTTTCAGCGTCACGGCCTTTTTTTAATGTTAATGGCAAGGAAATATATTTTTTTACGATATCCCTCATTTCATAAAAAAGTAGTCGTAACTGTTTACAAAATTTAAAAAATACGGTTTTCTTTAAAAATTTGTCGCGTAAGTTGGTCGGATATTATTCATTTTTATGAAATCGACTCTAAGTCGAGTTATCGGTGTTCGCATAAATTAACCGATGGATATTTGGATAAACACCAAAAAAATTTAGGTTAAATTTGCATCTCAGTAAATACGGTAGCTTCTAGTATGTTGTCCCTTTAGAGCTCTTAAGCCTTAAGCTCGAATAATGGGATTATTATTATATCGCGGAATTTGTTTCATTTTTTAATAAATTATTTGAAATTTTGAATAGCAGTTTCGATGAGGCTATTGTACCCACTAAAAAGTGTTGTAGGTTCCACTGAACATAAGAGTTTTTAGATGAGGCCGAAAAAATTTTAAAAACTATTCAGCTCTTAGATGAGTTAGAAAGCAACACAACCAATAATTTTAGCTTTCTAAGTAGAGGTGTACTAAATATAAACAGTTTAAGACTAAGAAGACGACTATGTCAGGACAGTTTATAACTTTTTTTTGGGCAATTTTTTGGGCAGATTAGAAGCAGAGGAGGTACTAGAGTATCGCCCTACTTGGTTTCTTGTTTATTTAGGAAATCGTGGGGTTTACGTTATGTAAATATCGTAATAAAAGGAAACTGTGAGCTGTCATCAGAACCTGATGCTACTGTAATTTTGGAACATAGTAATAATGTAGAACATCTTAATGTGTACACCTTAGAACCACCTTTGTTGGCAGGATTTTCAAGGTTTACCACGGCCTGAACACTCCCTCATTAGATCAGTTATTTTCGATAGTACTTTAGAAATTAATTTTTTTAAAGAAAATGCCTTTAGGTATTTTTGCGGCTATCTTTATTTGAAAATTTTCAAAGTACACACACGCTCTCTGCCACTACCTTATTTAGGATATTCTTTTCGACGAATTTATCTTCATTTATTAAAATCAAATAGACAAATGAAATTCAGTGACCACTACCTTATTTAGGATATTCTTTTGGACGAATTTATCTTCATTTATTAAAATCAAATAGACAAATGAAATTCAGTGAAGCCGCCTCAGGAATTTGTTACATTTGTAAAATTCTTAGAAACAAAATTTTTAGGAGAATTCGACAGTAATTGTCATAAGATAGGCATAGGTTATTCTTTTTAATAAAATGAAAGGCATTAGTATATATGCATACTTTTAATATCTGTGATATTTTTATTGTTTTTGTTCTTTATATGTCAAATAAGTTGTTATCGTTTTGTTTTTGAGTTATATGCATGTTAAATAATTAGTTATCGTTTTGTTTGTACTGTACGGTGATATAAGCCTATAGGGGATCCGAGCACCCGAAACTAACTTCGGTCACGCGCTAGTTTGCATACCTCCTGGGTAGTGGGGAAACGGCAAATTGAGTATTTTAATTTAAATGCCCAAAAATTATTGTTTTGTCCGATCTGGCTACAATAAAAAATGTTATAAAATACGCTAACTTTGAGGCGTTCTCACACTGAAATAAGTTAGGCATCTGTTTACCTCTGGTTAAAATCAGCAAAACGGCTGTCCGATTTTCTTTATTGTTCTTTCTTTTATACATGATATTTTCTAAGTCTAGATACAATAATTCAGCTTACATCGTAAGAAGTATATCTTCGGTCCACTTGAGGCTTACCATCAATTTTATAAATAAACCACTATGTCTACATTAAGAAGAACTTGTTTAAATTGTCCGAAAGGTTTTTGCTATTTGTCGTGACTTATGTTTAGAAAATGCCGTTTAAATGCGTCTGGTTCTATAAATAAGGCCTATTTGGACTACTTTGGAATTAAAATACATAAAACATAACTGACTGATATGCGTCGATTTTAAAATGGTAGATTTTCTTTTGGGTCAACAAGGGAGATATACCGAATACTCCTGTTCCATGTGCTTATGGGATAGCCGAGCCAATACAGAACACTGGACTAAAAAAATTTGGGTTTATGAATGTGATGAGACTCTAGTAGCCAGAGATCGCATTATTCTACTACACAGAGATGGGGAAAGCTTTAAATATATTGTATTAGTAAAATATGTCCGAAATTGAGCACAGAAAAAATGAAAGCCTGCATTTTTGACGATCCTTAAATGAATGAATGAATTAATAAATGACCAACATTTTACTGATTGTATGACAGATAAGATGAAATCTGCTTCGATTGAATTTATTTCGGTTGTACAAAACTCCCTAAGAAATAAAAAATCTCCAGACTACATGCAACCAGCATTGGACTTAGGCTCACTGCCGCCCTAGACCAGGTTCGATACGTCACCCTTTTTGATTAACAAAAGTGTGTACATTTTCATTTAAAATATAGTTATTCTTTTTTTGAAATAAAATAATTATTATAATTATTGTTTAATAAGATTACAAAGACATTTTTATTAAACTCTTACAAAAAAATAATAAGCATTTTTCTTGTTCGTGCAGAAATATCAACTATGTCATCGTAATCCTTTTCTTGAACTAGTTGAGCTTCAATAGACAGTAATGCCAAAGCACTTGCAACTTGCGCGTATACTTTTTTAAGCCTGTTTTAATGTGGAAAAAAATCTTTTTCCTGAAAAAATCGTAGCGGGAATACTCAAAAACTGCATTCTGACAAACAACTCGAAGATTTTAAGAATGCAATCTTTGCCTATGTCTAATGCGGAACGTACTTGTTCCCTCTTTTCCAGGGAATCTTTGAGTTGGCATTGTAAATGAATACATTCATTCCCTAATGTCTCTTCTAAATCATCAGGATACTTTCCGTCTCATTTATTTGTAAGATCATTTTATTGATTCGTACCTATCTCAGATAAATTGTAAAAAAAAATTTAGTTTTACAAAATACAAAATAATAATTCTCAGTTCTTCAAAGTACGTTCGATTAACTTTTAGAACAAAACCTCGTTCCACCTTTATTAACATTTCTGGAATTTTTTAAATCCGTAACTTCATTCTGTGGTACACTGTTCATAGTTATAAAATCCCGTTTCGTCGTGTAAATTCCAGCGAAAGCGATCACTACTTAATGTGAAATATCAGTTCTTGACTATATTTCTCTGGCATCTTCTGATGGAGGAAAAGCTGACGGTCTTTCGTTCAAATCTGTATCTTGCTATAACAAATGAGTTGATTGTACTTCTTCGATATCTTGTGTTGAAGAATTGTCTAATTCCGGGTATGAAAAAATTCTTTTAACAACTTTAAACAGTTTATACTTAATTCAATTTTAAACAGCATGTTCAAATAAAAAATTATTAACAGTTGCATCAAAATACTTTCGGCAGATGAACCTGACTCACAACTTTTCATTACTAATAAATTTTGTTGATTTTGTCATAAAATTAGGTATTTGTAGGATTTGTTTCAGTCGAATTTCTTTTTTTTTTGAAGAATCTTCGGTTTTTAAAAGTAAGTAAGTTTTTTTTCGATAGTAATTCACAGTTTAGAAAAAAATATATTCGTTGCCTCAACAAATTAAAAAAAAAATGCCTGATTCAAAATAAAAAATTACTTTTTCTTTTAATGCCACAAAACTCTATAGAAATACGATCGATATACGCAAAGTATGGCGCAAAACTTCCCACGGTTTTCTTACAATAATACATGTCTTTTCCGGTCAAAATTTCTGTTAGTTTATAAAGGCAGCATTTTTTTAAAATTTTTTAAAACTATATTTATTATTTAGTCATACGTGGTGTTCTGACTTTAAATATGCTTTTTAGCTGCATAGTTTTAGGGGCATTTTGTTTCTTTGCGGTGCCTTTTAAAATGCTAGTTATTTTGTCCCGGTGCCATTCAGTTTCAGTGCTACTAAAAAATAACAGTTACAAACATACATAGAAATATACATGTACCATATACAAACATACATACATACATACAAACGTACGATGAAGCTAATAATAAATTGTATAATAGTATTTTATAGTAAATTTTCTATAGATTCCCATAAAAAAAAATTAGAACTAATATTTAGAATAAAGTTTTAGTATATTTTTCCGGCACTACATTTCAACCTTCTGAAAACTATGCCGCTCTAATGTACATATTGTAACGGATTTCTCGATAAATCATCTACCTTGTAACTCACTCTTGAGTTCGATCACTGGTTGCTAAATTAAAGTCCCAATTTGATGCTATACACTTATCTTTATTTCTAATTCCAACAACTTATCACTTATTGCTCGCTATTCGATTTTACAACTTATTGCTTATAGCTTAATTGCTCTTTACACGACAACACTCTAATTAGAACTGTTCTTGCTGCACCATCCGGCAGCCCTTATACAAGTATAGTAGATTGTTAACTAAACTTCGCTACTCGAACATTCTGGCAACTACGAATTTCACTATCTAGTTGGTTCTAGCAGGTTAACGTCGATTTTGATTTGTTCTGGCATTCGTGTGTGTTCGCCACACTGCTCTCCACCTAAGTCTGATCGTCCCGATTAGCATATTAGCGGTACCCAACGCTGCTAGCCGTTCCAGATGAAATACCTTCATTTTTTTTCTTGTTCTTCCAATGGTCTGTATGCGATACACTACATTGTTGAGTCGTTTAATAACCTGGTATGATCCTTCCCAAGTACACTGTAGTTTAGGAGACAACCCTTTCTTTCGTTGTGGGTTATTCTTCAATAAAATCCTCAGAGTTCATTGCCTTGTCGTATTTTGCTTTCATTTTATCGCTCATAATTTTGGTGCACTGTCTCACCATAGCATGTATATCCCTCATCTCGTCTTCTAGGATGCTGTTAAATTCTTTAGCATTCCTTCCTCCGTTGGCGTTAATTCTAAATTTCAAATCAATCGGTAGTCGAAGATTATTACCAAAAATTATCCGTGCTGGAGTCTGTCCCGTTGTTTCATATACAGCTGACCGATAAGCCATCATGAACAAGGATGATTGGGTATCCCAATATTTTTGATATTTGTCCACAACTCTTCTCATATATTCTTCCAAAGTTCGATTAAATTGTTTTACCATGCCATCGGACTGCGGATGTGGTACACTTGTACGCGTTTTCCGGATACCCAGTTTCTGGCATATCTGCTGAATTAGAGCTGATTCAAAATTTCTCCCTTGGTCTGAATGTAATTCTATTTGAACACCATATCTCGATATCCAATTGTGTCTGGTCTGGCAATTTGCTGAAAAAGTCCATGACTACTAAAACATATTTGTTTCCTAATTTACTAATAGGAAATAGACCATAGCTTAGCAGTAATGCACTCGACACAATTGGCGATCCATTCGGTAACTGATTGACAACAACCAACCCAATAAAATCTTTGTTTTAATTTCTCCAAGGTTTTAGTGATATCCATGTGTCTTTCACTTGGACCGTTGAGCAGCTCGTTAAGAACTTCGGGAATTCTTACTTTTGGAACAATCCTCAGAGTTTGGGAACTTTACCCATCTTCATATTCCCATACGCGATTCAAGCAGCCAGACACTAACTTTAAACTTTTCCCTTGTTACCAATAAGCCTTTGCGACTGGGCCTTCTGCAGCTATTTCTTCTCTTTTTGGACGTTTATTTATCCCAATCCATGCATTGGACTTTTCAAATCTGGATCTTCTTGCTGACATTTCCGTAGCTCCTCCGTATCCCAGTCTGATGGAATAGTCAATAATCGGACATCTATAATGTCTTCTTTGGCCTCAGCTTTCGAGCAATATCTGCATTCCAAATTACGGGACGGCGGGACATGGCATCAGCATTTCCATGCCAACAGTCAGTTCCGGAACTGTAGAAGCCATTTTAATGCTGCATGATCTGTCCTCAACCGAAATCGCTGGCCATAAAGGTACTTATAAAAATGTTTGATGCACTTCACCAACGCCAGTAATTCCTTCCGAGTAACACAATAATTTCTCTCTTGCTTGCTTATTTTCTGGCTGTACGATACAACCACTTTCTCATTTACATCAATGACTTGTGATAGAACGCCGCCTTCTGCAAACCCACTAGCATCCGTATCCAAAATAAATGCTGATCCTGGGAATGGGCATGCTAACATTGGTGGTTTGGAAAGCCACTTCCTGTTCTTTATTCGATTCAAAAACTCTGTTTTTTTTCGTGAGTTCATGGAGGCTACTAGCTACGCTGGCAAAATTTGGAATGAACCGTCTATAATAAGTACACAGTCTGAGGAAACTCCGCAATCTCTTCATTAGCTGTGCAAATGCCCTCTGGCTTACAACTTTACGTTTTGCTAAAGGAACGCTTCGAGGAGCCTGGCAGGTTGGTCTTGCATCACCTGTGTTAATAAAATGTTTCACAAATTTTGTTCTTCCTGGTTTGGCATCGTCTTTATCAAATATGGATCAAATATCTTTGAACGTGCCTATTTTTTAGCATCGACATTGCCAAGGATGTAAAAGACATATATACATAAAAAAATCACATAAAATGCATTAACATGCAATACACATGCAATGCATATGCAATACACATGCTACGCATGCAATGATTAATATACATATTCACATACACATATATTTAGTAGGTTAAGATAGTTTTAAAAATTGTATATAAATGCTTCAAATATTAAATAAAAACCAGAATGAATATATTTTCAGCTCAACTAAGATCTTTATTTTTACTCATCAGCGGTATAATTCTAAACATTCTTCATTGAGTTTATACAAGTACAATGAGTATACGAGAAGAAGTGACATTGTTTTGATGGTTTGCCTTTAGTTCCTTGGTCCATGGAATCTTCCTCAAAACCTATTACGCAATTTATCACGGCCGCAATCTCTTGTTACTGCCCTAATAAACCTCCTTTCGAGAGTTTGATTGGTAACTTGCACTCTCTACTTCTCACTTCTTTATAACCAGATCAGATCGAATTATGGAATACGATGCGCCCGTATCCACAGTCAGTATGCGCTTTTTGCCGTCTACATATCCACTAACGGTTACGTTACTAGTATTCCTTCTTATGAAATGGAGATTACAGGGCATTTGGTTGCGGGAGCCAGCCCATGGCCTTTTCGGCTTGCTCGCTTTAGTTTAACGATTGATTGAATTTGACATTTGCTTAATCTTCCTCAGCTTTTCGTTTACGTCCAACTGGATTATTGGGCTTGTTACAGTTGCGTGCAATATGGCCACTTTTTCCGCAGTTGAAGCATTTAAGCACACCATCATTTTTCTTATGCGCTTCCGTAGATTTTTCCAGTGCTTTCTGCATGTTGTCAATTTTTTTAAGTAATTGGTTCACCCAAGTGTGTTCCTCTATTTCTACTTTGTGAGCTTTAAATGTTTGATTGCAAAGCAGAGATGCAGTTTCCTGTGTCAGAGCATACGAAACGGTTACTGCAAACGTCAATTTTGGACATGCTAACGCAGCGAAGCGTGTAGTATTATCTCGTATTCCATTGACGAAGGTCTGAATTTTCGTGTCCTCAATGTATTTCACGGATTTATGAGCATATGCTGAGTGAGCTAACCTCTCAATCTCTAGAGAAAACTCCTACAGAGACTCATTGGCTTTCTGGCGCCGATTTCACAGCTCGATTTGGAATATCTGCTTTCTGTGTTCATTACCATACCGTCTTTCTAATGCATCCATCAAGGTTTCATAACTACTCGCCTCGCAATTTGGAATGGTCTGTAATATCTCCGTTGTAAATCCTTTTAATTCAACAAACAATACAGCTACTTCATCTTCAGCGTTCCAATTATTTGAAAATGTCGTCTTTTTGAATTGAAGCTTAAAAACGTAGAACGGAACAGTGCCATCAAAGGATGGAGGTTTTACCTCCAATTTTAACAATAATTGTAGATCGGGGAGACGATCTTTCAATTCATCCACTTCAGTTTTATTTTAGCCCGCTCTTCCTCTGACCTGATATACGTGTATCTTGCGCTGTGAACTGCTTTTCCAACTATAAGAACACCTGTGCTGATGTACGTGCATTTTGCGCTGCGAACTGCTCTTCTAACGAGGACAATTGTGGGATTGTTGTGGACAATTGGGATTGTTGTCCCAACATTTGTGATGAAACCTCTGCTATTTGTTGGGTCATAAATGTATCCTGCTCTTTGCCTCTGCGATATTGCAGCAAAAATCATGTCCACAATCATTGACGAGTATTAAGCTTCTTCCTTTTCTTCTATCTTTGTAGTTTCTCTTTCTAACTTTAATTGAAACACATATTCGTCAACATTCAAGTTTTCTGCTTTCATGGCCTCTCGCAACCGTGATTGTAATTCGGACTTTATTCCATTTGTTGCTAAACCACGTTTTTCTTATTCCTTTTTCAGTTGTGGAATCATTAAATAGCAATTTAAAAGAATTTTTTATTTAAGAATTCATTTGACAATCCCACTTCTGACACCAATCGTAACGGATATCTCGATAAATTGTCTGCCTTGTAACTCGCTCTTGAGTTCGATCACTGGATTGTTAAGTTAAAGTCCCAATTTAATGCTATACACTTATATTTATTTCTAATTTCAACAACTTATCACTT